CATTCATGAATAATATTCATGGATAAGAAGTTTCATGTTATTTTTTTTCTCCTCGATTCATCTACAGATTGAATGATTCCAATCCAAATCCTAGCAGTCTTTCCTGGAATTAGCATAGGTTTTGAAATGTATATGGAGAAATAAAGAGGTTTAGTTACCTCACTAAAAAAGAAGGATCATTTATTCTAAATACATATTAAGACTTCTTAGAAATTGTTATTGTGATCAAGATAGTATACTTTTTGGGGGCCAGGGAGATGGCTCAGTGGGATATGCGCTTCCCTGGCAAGCGCAAGGGCCTGAGTTCAATCCCTAGTTCCAGAAAGATAGTATGCTTTTTGGTGCAGCAAGAATTAAAGTGACCAGTGGAACTGAGTAGAATCTTCAAAACAGACCTAGAAAATAATGAAAACTTAATTTACAGTAGATGTAGCATTTATATCAGAGGGAAAGAATGAAGTGTTCAGATATTAGCAAATATTTTTGTGGGGAATAAACAGTACACATTTTAAGCTGTGTGGAGCTTAGTGTCTGATAGAATTACTCAGCTCTGCTGAGGTCATGTAAAAGTAGCCACAGACTTGAACAAGGGCTAGTTGAACAAGGCATTGTGACTATGTTCCAATAAAGCCTTATGTACACTGAATTTTACGTACTTTTTATGAGTTATGAATTCTTAATTTTCCTTTTATGTTTTCAGTCACTTAAAATGCAGAAAACATTTCTATATAGGCTTTATCAAAGGAGGTGGAGCACTAGATTTGACTTATAGGCTACAGTTGGTTGATTGCCAATCAAAAAAATATTCAGGGGGGCCGGGGAGATGGCTCAGTAGGATAAGCGCTTGCCTGGCAAACACAAGGATCTGAGTTCAATTACCGGTTCTGTCAAAAAAACAAAAAAAAATAAGAAACAGAAAAGTATAAAAACGAAATATAAGAAGTAAAGCCATGTTGTTAGGTTGAGCTGTAGGGGACTAGGTCAACAATTTCTGACATTGCCAGTGAAGCGGAAGACCCAACACTATTATGGGCTACAGGACTCTTTTAGAATATTTTGCTGAGTTTACACACCTATAATATTCAAATAACAGAACTTAACAAAAAAAGGGGATACAGATGAATG